GATCGATCGTGATGTCGATCGCGAGATTGATAGTGACGTCGATAGTGAGATCGATAGTGAGATCGATCGTGAGATCGACCGTGTGAGGAGTCGTTAGATCGGTCGTGGGATCAATAGTGAGATCGATCGTGTGAGGGATAGTGAGATCCACAGTGAGATTGATCGTGATATCGACAGTAAGATCGAGCGAGATCGATAGTGAGATCGATAGGGATGTCCCGTCGGTGTCCCACAGTGAGACCGGTAGTGTGATCGATCGTGGTTTCGGTAGTGATACCATTATGGAAACCGAGAGTGCGATCGACAGTGACACCGAGAGTGAGATCGAGAGTGATGTTGAGAGTGACACCGATAGTGGGATCGATCGTAAGATCGATAGGGATACCGGTAATGAGATCAATCGTGATGTCGATCGTGAGATCGAACGTGAGATCGGTTGCGTGAGAAGTTGGTTTCCCCCCGAACCTCCTTATCACCCGAAGGGTGCTTGGATAGGTATGTATACAAGGCGTCTGCAGGCCATTTTCAGGTGGCTTATGTTTTCCAGCACGTTCTCCAGATTTTATGTTGGGTGGCCGCTTTCTTCTGGGCGTCAATAGGTGTCAGTATAAGTGGTCACAACCTTGAGAGCCCACAAAGAGCGTCCTCACACATGAACTCTTTCTACCTCAAGGCACCGCGTGTGCCGCAGAGAAACTTATCCGGCCGCGCAGCGGGCCAGAAAGACACCAAACGGGCACGGAGAAATCCAATTGGACACTGGAAACCAGGAGTGGGGGGGGGTCGTCGTCATCGTCGCCACCCCTGGTCTGCAAGACGCCTGCGCAGACCCCCCCCCAGTTGGTGGGGCATCCGCAGCTCGCGCCGCCGCCACCGCCGCTGTCGCCGCCGTCGTCCTCGTCCTCGTCGTCGTCCCCGTCGTCGTCATGCTCGTGTTCGTCGTCGTCATCGACATCGTCCTCTCCGTCGTTGTCATCATCGTCGCCATCACCGCCTGCACGCGCGCTCCCCACTGCGGCCTGCGCCTCTTCCGTACTGGGGCCCGAAGCAGCCCCAATGCACGATGGTGGGGTGAAAACCTACAGCCTCGAGCCTTCCCCTCCGAATACATACATCTCCTCAGATCTCCTCGTCAACATGGGATCTCGTCCGAATCCACCAAAACTTCACGGCTCCAAGTCAAAGTTGTACACTGGGCCTTCTGGTTCGGGGGTTGTTAAAGGTGCCCCCTGGCCCAAGTTTCCCCCAGTGGTTCGTTCAGTTTGGGGGCCCCCGGGGCCCTTTGGGCCTCGTGCGGGGTGCCCTGGAGGGCGGGGTGGCCTCCTTGGAAATCCGGAGGGCACCTTGGGCCAAGGGCGCTTCTGGCAGCACTCGACAGGCTGCGTGCCATCCGCAGCGCTGGGCGCAACGAGCCAGCATGCAGCATAGATGAGTGCTTGCGCGGCAGGGACGCCACCGCGCCGACGGAGGCAGGCGTGTACGTATGTATGGATGTATGTGTGTATGTATGTATGTATGTATGTATGTATGTATGTATGTATGTATGTATGCGTATATATATATATATAACCATTGGTTGTTTGGGGGGGGTGTTCGTGTGCTCGTGGCCGCGTTTCTGCTGAAGCTCGTTGGGGGAGCTCCCAGATCTATTACATGTGTGTGTGTGTGCGCGCCTGTTCTCCGTGTGTATGTGCGCATGTATGTATAGCTGCGCGCGCGTTTGCTGCTAAACGACCTTCTCCGCACGCAGGGCCGCGACGCCAATACATGTGTACATATATGTATATATATGTATATGTATGTATATATATATATATATATATATATATATATATATTTGTGGGCGTGTGTGTGTGGGTGTGTGTTCCTCGGGTGTGTTGGCCGCTGCACCTTGTCTTTGCAGCGCGTTTCGCTGTTCACCACCTCACCACCTCCTGCACGGCCACGGTTGGGCCGTTCCATCGTGGCGCGTTCGACCCCGTCCGTTCGCAGTCGGCACCTCCGCCCGCCGGTCGCGCCCGAGGCTCCTCCTGCGCCGCCGGCTCAGACAGCTGTTGTTCTGTGTGTGTGCGCGCGTGCGCGAAGTGGTGTTTGAGTTCTCCAGATTTCGTAGTAAAAGGGAGGGGGTCTGGACCCTCCAAGACAAGCCGTTTCAGACCTCCCCCGTGGGAGAACCCTCCAAAACATCGTCCCCAGACCCCCCAGGCCCTCCAAGATAGCCTGGAAGAGACCCCCCCCGGAATGAGACCCCCCTCCCTTTATTACAAAATCTGGAGTTCCCACGGGCTTAGACGCGCGCGCGCGCGTGATGGGTTGTTTTCCGACGTTCTGCGCCCTGTCGCGGCGCGCAGCGCCGCGATTCCGAGAGATGTGTGGGTTCGTGTTCGTGTGCGTTTTCGATTCGCGTTTTCGTGTCACGGTCGGCCGCTCCGACTGCGCTGAGCGCCAGCCAGTCGCCGTGACGAAAGTGCGTGCGCGTGTGTGTGTGCATGCGGGCGCATCCGTTAGCGATCGAGTGTCGATTTTGTGTGCAGCGTGCTTGCAGGTGTGTGAACATTCGTGGGGACGTGTCGTGAAAATCTTGTGTTCTCGTGCCCTTTGCTCCCGTTTGTTTTTCTCACAGCCGCGGCCGCTTCCATCTTCGCGACCGCTGGTGGGAGGCGTCAGAGTTGAACGCCCTGTTCGCCGTGTTTCGGCATTTTGACGGCGACCGCAGCGGCAAGGTGAGCCTCGAGGACAGATACAGAATTGGGCTCGTCGCGGCGTTTGCCAGCCGCTTCTCTTGCTTTCCATGTCAGCCTCTTGCGCGCGCCCCCCGCACCTTCGGTCACCCCGCCATCTACCTTGCTGTTAAGGCTCCTCCAGCTCGTCTGTTTGTTGTCTGGTGTGGGTGATGTTTGACGCACCAATGACGCAATTACAACCTCAGGCTAATCAACAATCGCCAGGATCCGTAGATGTGGCCCAACGACTGGGCAATTGTTCAGGATCATTGCAGGAGCGAGGCGACACTAATCGAGATATAGCTGCCGGGCAGCTATCAAACACGCACGAAGTCGACCGAAGTCGATCCCGTCCTGCTTCGTGGCGAGCGGCGTGGTCTTGTAGCACGTTCCTGAACAGACGTTCCCAGATAGGCAAACGAGAGGCCCTGATCACGCTTGGTCGGTTGTCAAGGAACCGGCAGTGCTCATTGCTTCTGGGCTGAGGGGTACCGCTGGGACGACGGATTGCAAAAAACCCTTTTTCGAAGGATTGCAAAAAAACCCTGGGTTTTGCAAAAAAAGGTTTTTTTTTGTTTTGCAATCCTGGTTTTTTTTGCAATCCTTCGGGTTTTTTTGCAATCCTTCGTTGCAATCCTTCGATTCGGTGATCTGACCGAGCAGGAGCGACGTGAGCAGCGGTGCGACGTCCACTGAGATCAGGTCTGCGCTTGTTCCCCGACCGCGTTCTCTGTCGTGCCGCCTCATTTTTCCCAGTCTTCCCCCCTCCCTCTTTCCTAGCCAGGCGTGACTTCGACTCTGGATGCGTCCAGACGCTCTTGCCTCCCTCCTCCTGCCGGCGTCTACGTTTAAGTCGGGCCTGTCCCTCTACACGAGGAAAATAATCCAAAGATTGTCAAGACATGGTCAGGGGACGATTTGTTTGAGTATTTGTTTGTGGCATTCTTTGGTTCTGTTTAATTTTTCCTCCAAGATCCGCCTGTAGGGAGGGGGACGCGCCCGACCTAAGTCTACCTGCACTGGGGCGCCCGCGTCAGACTTCCGCGGCTCCACGCAACTTCCGAGCAACGGTTCGTCTCCCAGTATTCCATGCATCATTCCAGGTTGCTGGCGGCAGCGGCGCAGCTCTTGTCTTGAGTCGGGAGTGTCCCTCTTCAGGAGGAACATTCAAAAATAGTCATAACACAGTCTGGGGACGATTTTGTTGACCATGTTTGGATATGTTCGAATGTTTCTGGGGTATTGTTGAAACGTGTTCGCCCAAAATCCGCCTGTAGGGGGACAGGCCCGACCAAATTCTTGACTGTTGTGCAGCAGCCATGCCTGAGACCTCTGACGTAAAGCCGAGGTGAGCGTGGATCACTGCGGGCATGCACTTCTGCCCCAACCCCTCCCGTGCTGTTGGGGCCCTCGGCTCAACATCTTCTCCCTCCTGCCGCCGCGCTTGCTCTGCCAACTGGTCTCCGTCCAAGCTGCCCCCCCCCCCCCCCGACACGTGGATCGCATAAGGAATTCTACCCACGGCCCCAGCGGGGCTGTGCGCATGAGGGACTCCGCCCAATCCGGCGCACCCCTCACAGGGAGCGGGGGGGGGCTTCGGCTCCGGGTCCTCCTCCTCCTCCTCCTCCTCCTCCGCCGCCTCCTCCTCCTCCTCCTCCGCCTCCGCCTCCCCGGGTCGGCCCCACAGGGAGCTGCACCCTTCTGCCCTCGTCGGGGCGGAGCTCCAGGTGCGGCCCGCTGCAGCTCCACTTAGGGGTGTCGGCATGCAGGCGTCCGCCCCCATCGGCACATCGCTCACGTGGATCGTGCCCCCTCCTCCTCCTCCTCCTCCTCCTCCTCCTCCTCCTCCTCCTCCTCCTCCTCCTCCTCCTCCTCCTCCCCCTCCTCCTCCCCCTCCTCCTCCTCCTGGGCTCCCGCCATCGCCGCTCCCGCCCCCCGCAAGATCGGGGGGAGCTCGGCCCAAGATCGGGGGGAGATCATCACGTCCTTCTCCCTGGCCGCGCAGTATAGGTGGAAGTGACTCCGCCCCCCACGGTACACCTAGCTGTACAGGGTCGAGCCTTCTGACAGTCTGATGAACGCTCTGGGCGTTGATCAGCGTCAGCCTGGCCCTGAGCGAAGGGTGACCAGCTCACCTTTGACAGACTGTGGTTGGTCTGGTGCTGAATGCTGCAAAGATCCTCTCCCCTTCGCCTTCCCCCTCCCCCAAGAACGAAGAAGGGGATGTGCTTTGCGCCAGAGCAGGAGGCAGGGGGCTGTGGGGCGGATGGCCCGAAGGAGCTCATCGAGAGCGGCCTCATGTACGAGGATATGGCGAGCGAGATGTTCAGGCAGTGGGACCGGGACGGCGATGGCACACTGGACAAGTACGAGTTCCAGGGGCGTGTGGCCGGAAAGGCGGTGGCAGGGCGGTGGGCGAAGGGCCATCGATGTGACGGGGTCGAGGTGGGCGCTCGCGCTGGCCAGCGCTGTTTGCGAGCTGCGGCCTTCGGAAACGCTGAGCCCAAAAGTGTTGCCATCCCCTGGGGGGCGCATCTTCTACTTCCGCAGGCGGAGGCGGCCTCGTTTTCCGTCCGGCGCCCTCCGCGGGCCTTCGGCCGCCCTCCGCCGAGCAAGAGCTGGCTGCCGACTTCTTCGACAACTGAAGGCGATACATTTTCAGGAGCGCTTCTCTAGTGAGCGAGAAAAAACGGGGTCGTCTGCGCCGACATTGGCGAGTAAACTCCCCGCGTAAGGTCGCGCGTAAGCGCCCTCTTTTCCAATGTAGCGTGCCGCGCGGGCGGGCCGCGTTAGCCGCGGCGATGGGTCGCTATGCCATCTCGCGTAAGACCCGTTTTCGATCGTCGCCCAAGTGGCGAGATGCCATCGCTAGTGCATGACAGCGCCCTCGCGTCGGTGATGGAGGTTTTGGAGGGAGTTCGACATGCGCGAGAGGCGCGCGAGAGTGGCCCGCGTAGTTTTGTTTGACACGGATCGTGCCCCCACATCACGCGCGCAAGGCCATTTGAATGATTTCGACTTGCGGCGCGAGAGGCCCGTCTGGCCCAATTGCATGAACATCTTGAGAACCGACGGGTCCCTCAAGAATTCGCATGAGCGCGAAAGCAGGCATTTTTGAACATTGATGTTGCAAAGCCATGTGCTTTCATATGCTTTCGGGACAGTCGATCTTGAAATCCGGACGAAACCTTAATAACAGGTGTCTGAACGATTGCCGCATGCGCGCGCGACGACGCGCGAGTGTGTACCCCGTTCCGCTTCTTGCACGGGATCATTGCGACAGCGCGCGCGCAAGAGCGTTCGAACGATTCCGACATGCGCGCGCGAGGGGCCCGTTTGGTAGCAATTTGTCAACATGTCGAACACCTTGTTGGTTTCTTCAAGAATTCGCAAAACCCTGGGCGCAAATGCTTGTTGAAAAATTAGTGTTGCGCAGCCAAGTGATTTTTTCACTATGATTTCGGGGCACATGGTTTTATATTCTTTGCGGGGCCTACGGTTTGCCGCGCGTTTGCACTCCATTCCGGTTTTTTTTGTTCGATTGTAAGGGGTTCTTGAAATTTATGTTTTTTTTAATAAACGAGTGCGCGCGTATTTTCTTGCAGGATATGAAGGAGGGAATACCGGCCTGCCTGGGATGCTACGGGGTCAAACTTCGGATGGACGATGCGGCAGAGTCGTAAGCAAATTGCAATACGAAAAGGGGAGTTGTTATTTCTTGGGAGGGGTATGTATCGTAATATTCTATGAGAAAGGAGGGTCGGTGTTGTGCGACCGATTTTAGTGCACAGTGAGTTGTCAGCTGTCGGCGCAATCATCCCACCCGCCCACACGCAACTTGGTTTGCATAAGCCCCTGCGGCAGCGATTGCGATGAGTGCTTGGTGTTGGCTGGTGCATCCCTGCGGCCGCGCTAGCCCGCGTATGCTCGCGCTCGCAGCGGCCAGCTAGTTCGGCACGACCGACGCGGCCGCGGTGGCGTTGACCGCTGGGCATTTCCAAGTGGGTGGTTCAGTACGGAAAGGAAGAAACGGTGGGTTCTTAACCCTAAGCGTGGTAACGGACTAAAGTACAACGCTAAAATACCAGACTGAAGTACCAGACTAAAGTACCAGACTACAGTACCATATTAAAGTACCAGGCTTTTAATACCAGACTGAAGTACCAGACTACAGTACCATCTTAAAGTGCCAGATTAGCGTGCCAGACTAGAGTGCCAGACTAACCAGCCTACAGTGCCAGACGAACCAGACTAGAGTATTAGACTACAGTATCAGATTTACCAGGCTACATCACCAGACTACCTAGATTGAAGTACCAGAGTGATGCACCAGACTAATCACATTCAAGAATCAGACCCAAGTACCAGATTAAAGTACAAATTGAATGTAGCATACTGAAGAATCGTACTAAAGTAGCAGGCGAACGTACCATACTGATCCGATTAAAGTAGCAGGCTCAAGTACCAGACTGATGTAGCGGATCAACTTAATGTACCGTGCAAATCAAACGAAAGCGCCAGATCAAAGTAGCAGACTACTGAACCACACGAACCAGACTAGATTACCAGATTAAAGTACCAGGCTAAAACACCCGCCTTAGGTACCAGAGTAATCAGATTAACAAACCGGACGAATGGGGATCTGATGGGGCGCGATAGAGGCGTCTTGGAATTCGATTGGGTTGTTCCAGGTCCCCCTGTGGGGCCATTTCGGGGGCCCCCCCGCGGTTGCCCGAGGGCTGTATTGCCAGACGAATGGCATCAGACTAGCGGTGCCGGACTAACGCGCCTGACGAATGGCTCCAGGCCAATGGCACCAGACTAATTGCACCAGACTCGCGGTACCAGACTATTGTGACTATTGTACCAGGCTGAAATACCAGACGATGTGTACCAGAAGTGGCACCAGACTGATGGCACCTGGCCAACGGCACCAGACACATGGCACCTGACTCACGGCCAAGACCAGCGGTACCAGAGTAAAGTACCAGACTAGTGTACCCGACAAATGTACCAGACTGGTGCACCTTATTAAAATCCCAGGGTCCTGTGCCACATTGGTGTACCAAGCTAGCGTGCCCGACTAGTCTACCAGATTAACGTGCCAGACTAATGTACCAGACGAATGTAACACATGAGTGTGCCAGGCTAATTGCACCAGATTAGTGGCATCAGACTAGTGGCAGCAGGCTGGGGCTACCAGCTTAGCGGTACCAGACTAAATAACCACACTACTGGTGTTAGACTATTGGCACCAGACTAGTTGTACTTGACTCATGTACCAACCGAAAATACCATACCAACGTACCAGACTATGTATACCGGACGGTCTCAGACTCACGGCATGCTAGTTTGGTACTGGTACACTCGTATGGTACATCCGTATGGTACTTTAGTTTGGTACGCACGTCTGGTACATTAGTCTGGTTCATTGGCCAGATTAAAGTATCAGACTGAAGTACCAAACTAAAGTACCAGACTGAAGTATCAGGCTAATCTACCAGACTAGTGTACCAGAGTAATCAGACGAAAACACCAGACGAATGTACGAGACCAATGTACCAGACGAATGTACCAGACTAATCAGACGAGCGTACCAGACTAGAGTACCAGACTAATCCGATTAATGTACCAGACTAGTGTACCCGGCGAATCTAATCACACCAAAATACCAGACTAAGGTACCATAGTAAAGTACCTAACTAAAATACCATGCTCAAGTACCAAGCTAATCAGACTACAGAGCCAGACTCAGTTACTTTAGTCTGGTACATTCGTCTGGCACTTTGGCTTGATTAGTCTAATAATTTAGTCTGGTACAGTAGCTTGGTTTCCTTAATATGGTACTTCTGTCTGGTAGTTTAGTCTGGTACCGCGCTTACCGTTAAGAACTATTATGTTCAATGCGAGTCGGCGGCTTGGGCGGGCGAAGTATCATGGGAACGTGGACAGCAGCAGACACGAGAATGATAGTAGCGATGCTGGTGGCGATGATGACAACCACGACGGCAAGGCCAGTGACGGCGCCGATATTGATCATGCCGACGAAATGACGGCGTCTTCGCGTCGGTGATGAAGGTGTTGGAATGAGTTCGACATGCGCGCGCGGCCGACGCGCGAGAGTGGCCCGCATGGTGTTTTTTTACACGGATCGTGCCCCAACACGCGCGCAATGCGGCGCGAAAGGCCCGCTTGGCCAAATTTAATGGAAATTTTGAAAGCCGATGGTTTTCGTAATGAAGTACTAAGTGCGCACAAGGGCGAACGCGGGCGTTTCAGAACATTGGTGTTGCAAAGCCACGTACTTGTATATATTTTGGGGCATTCAATTTGAAATCCAGACGAAACCTATGTTTGTTTGGGGATTCCGGCGTGCGCGCGCGACGACGCGCGCGTGTACAATTCGTCCCGCTTTTGCCACGGATTCTTGCGACAGCACTGGCACAGGGGCGCTCGAACGATGTCGACATGCGCGCGTGAGAGACCCGTCTGCTAGCATGTCATGAGCATTAAACAACGTATGGTTAGCGTGGGCTCAAGCTTTCGTTGAAAATGATTGTTGCGAAGCCCTGTGCGTTTATACGTTTTCGGAACGCTCGATTTTGAATTCCTTGCACCACATGCGGTTTTTGAAGGATGTTGGCATGCGCGTGCGACGTCGCGCGCGTGTGCGCGTCGCCCCAACTGTTGCAAAGGATGGTTGGCAATTGCTAGTTTGTTATGAACGATTGCACGCGCACAACATCTCCTGCAGAGGATGAGAGGTGTGCCGATACGGGCCTGTCTGGGATGGTAGGAGTTCAAATTCAGGATGGACGATGGGCAGAGCCGCACGTAAATTGCAATATGAAAAGGAGTACCGTTAACGCCAGGGAGGGGGGGTAGATCCTACGAGTTTGCTAGCAAGGAGAAGCTGTGTGGCCCAGACGACGGGCGGCGACGAGGCGGCGACGGGGCGTCGACGGCGGCAACGGAGCCGCCACACCGACATCCAGGGCCAGCTTCTTTGACCACAAGCAAGATCCCCTGAGTGCAAGCACCGTTTGGGGAAGAAGGGGAAGGGAAAAGGACGGGGCGGGCCGACGGGGGAGGGACGGGGGAGCGCGAGGGAAGGAGGAGGAGCTGCCGTGGGGATCCGGAGTGGCAGGGGTGGGGGATGGGGGGCAACAGAGCGCGAGCACAGGGAGTCACTGGGGATGGAGAGCAAGAGAGGCAGGGGGAGCAGGAGTGAAGATGGTAAGAACCAGACGGTGAGGAATGTGATGGGCAAGGGCGAGAGGAGGAAGAGGGATGGAATCTTGGAGTAGGAAAGGGGACTCGTCGAGGATGCAGAGGATGGTCAAGGTTCTTAGAGCCGGTGCCGTAGGAGGCAAGATCAGAAATCACGCGACGCTAGCCCGAAGTCAAGTGATGGAGGGAGGGGTTTCAAGAGGGAAACGGGTCGA